CTGGGGGCTGGGCCGGGGCTGGCCCCAGACAGTGACCTGGAGTTGAGTGGAAGCAGGCTTTTTCCATCAAACCCGGCCTGGATACCACACACGGAGACTGAGTGTCAGTTTACTGCCCTGAGCCGGGCTCCTTTTCCCTAAGCTCCACAGTAATTAGACAAAGAAAACCTAAATTAGTTGAACAGGCGTCGACAGCTTCCTCCAGAGCACCCCTGGTACCTACATGGGAATGTGTCCGAAAATGGCCTGATTGTAGCCGAGAGTCAGCTAAGAAAACAGGGCTAAAATGAACTCAGTTTACCGCCCATTTTCAATAGAAAAAAGAAACAAGTCGTTCTTTTCCGGATGGGATGTTTTGATTGAGTTGGGGCAGGGGGTTTGCAGTAGTTTCCACTTCTAAGAATTTCTTTCTGAGTGACTGGTGAGCGTGGGTTTTTTGTTTTTTTTTTCTTTAGGGATGGGCCCCTATTTATTTTTATAGTTTTTTCTCACCTTTTTGTCATTTTGCACGGAATAATTTAAATGTAAGTAATTAAATATAGAAGTAAATAGAGTGTGTTCACTAAATCAATGCTTTAAGTGTCTGAAAAATAAATAAAATAGAAAGTGGAGTGCGAGGACTGATAGTATCTAAAAGGAGCTCCTTTCTCTATGTGTGTGTGTATTGGGAAGAGAACTGACCCAGCTAAGAAGCCTGGAAAGAAGGAAGGCAATTATTTCATTTGCAGATGGGGGTTGTGGGCAGTGGATTTGGGGGGAATTCAGCAAGTGAGTATCCTGCCACTAGACCTCTGATTTTCTGAAGGGGAGGGGGATTCTATCTACATTGGATCTCAGTCTCTAAAAGGTTTTAGGACTCAGAGACTGAGGAATGAACAGCACCAAACCTAAAAATCCAGCCAGGGCTAGGAATAACCCTCTATACCAGCAGTTCCTAGTTGGGGGTCAGGAGTCTTTTTGAAAATATGGTGGAAGCTTTGGAGTCTACCCTCAAAATACTCCCATTTTGCCAGTGGTACTAGGGGGCCTACAGATATTCTTTAAAAAAACAACAACCCTACCCTACTCTACACATTGCTAGTTTCTACCAATTCAGCTGGTTAAAAGATCAGGGATTTTTAAAGGCTCCCTTCCCCATCCAAGTGACAGTGGTATCCATTTCTCTAAACTTGCAAGAAATAGCACTTATAGCCTGATGAATGTCACAGGAGGCTAGACAGGTCCCCGCAGGGCAGCAGACGAGAGCAGCGAGAGCCCAGGCCAGCAGCAGGTCAGAGGCTGGAGCTTTCTCTCGGGCCTTCTGGACTGCCCTGCACTGCGGAAAGATGAAAAGGTTGGTGACCTTCTGAGCAAGAGGGGCTCCTCCCAAAGCTCTTTCCTGGAGACCCACTCCTGCCTGTGGACACTGTGTCCCTGGCAGAGACCCCACATCCACAAAGACCAAATCCCTGCATTTGTTCCTTACAGACTTCGCAGGCACAAGCCTTCCACTCACATCCTGGTGCTGTCTGCTCTCCTCATCTCTTAGAGGTAGGGAAACTGAGGCTTAGAAATACCTGAAAGTCACACCTGAGCAAGTGACACAGTCACCTGTAGTGCAGGCCCAGGGCCCACTCCCACTCAGCTTCCACCACGTCCCAGCGAAACCGCTCTCAACTTTGTTTTAATTTATACAGACCTCCTGGGCAAGAATGCGTGCGGTAACAAATTATGTCAAATTCTTTATCCCTGGCAAGGATATCTGAATTTCTGTTTAGCAGATGGCTTAAAAGGGAAGTTGTGTTTGTCTCTGAAGCAGAGACAAAGCATCCTGGCTTAGGAAGCTTCCCTCTCGGAGTCCTTTATGGCCCTGAGATCTTCCGACTGACTTCCACTGCCAACACCTTGACTTCTTTCTTCTTAAGGGAAGGAGAGGTGTGGCTCGTTAAAATGAGTACGAATCAGCCCTGGCGCTCCTGGGCTGACAGAGATACGCGGCCTGGGCGCAGCCGGTCCCCTCTCCAGACCCGTGCTCTTCCCCACTTCGGGGGCGTCTGCATCCCGGCTGGAGGTTCCCCGTCAGCTCCCCACCCCAAAGCCCCGCCCCTGCTCTGGCGCAGGGGAGCGTGAACTTGGGGAAGCTTGGGTTTCTCTGATTCTGTTCTGCAGTCGGCATTTTATTCTAGGAAGTCTTCAGTGTTGCGGTTGAAATCTTGTGTTCTTGGCACGCTTCCTGTGCGTCGTGGGTTTTACACGAAGGGCTTAGACTAACGGGGAACCCACCCGAGCCGCGTCGAGGCGAGGCTGTTCCCGCGTCTAAGACCTCGCCTCCCCCCAGGGCACTTCTGGCCCCTCCCTTTCTTCCACCAGCCCCGCGCGAGCAAAGCCTCTCCCCATTTCAGTTCACTCTCTTGGCCCTGTGTTGTGATACAAAGTTACAGTGTGTAGCGGCTTCTCTAACTCCTGCGAGGACTTCTGCCTGGGGCACGTGGGTTGCTGAGGTCCAGGGGGTGGCAGCTGTTTGAAGAAGCCACGGAGGACCACGAGCCTGTGCGCCACAGAGGCCCCTCTAGAAACGTAACGACAGAAAATCCGCCCGGAGGCCAGGAAGGGGCTCCGCAGCTGGGGAGGGAGAGGGGAACTGGGCTAGGAGGGGTGGCTGTGACTTCTGTATCCTTCTCAGCCGCGTCTGTTCTCCTTCCTCGGTCCAGAAACTCCCAGACCTCCGGGTTTGAACACCAGCCACCCAATTCCAAATGTTTATTTGGATAGATTCTTCCGCTCTCCAAACGCCGGTGTCACGGGCAGGGCTCTTGTTTATAGCTGGAGAGGTCTGAGGATAGCCCCAGATCTCCTGGGTCTGGAATGGGCATGACTGGATCACCCACTTGGTCAGGTCTGAGGTGTTTGGGGAGGGAGAAAAAACGGGGACCAGTTTACCAGAGCTCCATGGGGAAAGCGCGCCTCCTCCTATCTCTGCACTTCCCAGATTTTGTTCCCTACGGTGGGAAGACACAACTTTGGAGACAGCCGACCCATCTGCCCACGGGCCCTGACCCAGGTGCTGGCCAGGAGGTACCAGACCTGGCACCTGCCTTAGGCATGTGCCCACAGCCTGCTGCGTTTATTTGTGGAGGGGCTGGGGCTTGAGAAGAGGGTTTCCAGGGCAGGACAGGCCATTCCTCCTGAAAGGCAGCTCTGCTGCCTGCAGGAAGGGGAGAAATGACACCGAGGAGCCGGAATAGCGGGCCTGTGCCCCCACTGGGGCAGGAATGAGTGCGCTCCCAGTGGTGAAGAAAAACTAGGGAAGCCTGAACCACACAGAAAAAAAGGTGGAAGCAAGTGTGGGTGCCAGTGCGCCCCCTCCCCCCGCATTAATTTTTGGTCTACTTGTGTTGTTGGGAGGAAAATCACCCCAGATGAGACGGAAACCGGTGGAGTCAGGCCGCGTCCTGGGAATGGGCCCTAGGACACCTTGAGCTCAGCACCGCTTCCCCGTGCCCTCCTGGCGTGCCTCCGGCCCCCTGCTCTGAGGCCCCAAGCTTTGGGAGGCCTCGTGCCCGCCGCTCCTGCCTGCCTCCCCAGGCTGGGAGGAAGGTGGCTGGCCTAGCCTGCGCGGGGCTGGGCTGGCAAAGGGGCTGGGCCCACCCCGGGGGGTCCGCGCGACCTCGAGGGGTTAGCCCCGGGGGCAGAACGAGGGTGGGTGAGCGCCGAGGGCTGCGCGACGCACGAGC